ACGGCTTCTTTCACGCGGTGAGTGGGTGAGCGAGCACCGTCTTCTATCAGGGCGAGGCTGCAGTAGTCTATTGCACGGCCATGCCACGCCTTAAGCCGCCGCAGGTCCGCATTTTTGGAGCCGGAGGCGACTGTGGCTAATGCGCGAGGCTCGTTAGAAGCTCATTAGTGTTGTTTCTCCCATGCAGGCTGTTTGTCTTTGCTAATGGTTTTCCCAATTAAAGCGTTTTCACCTTCAATGGTGAGTTAAGCTTCCGCCTTCCCACTAAACAGGAGCTACAAGGGTACAAAACAGCACTGCAGTTGGCGCTGAATCCATGCGACCGTTTTCATATTTTCATGTAGTGCAGCAGTTAAGTAATATTCATGACAACATTGGCTCACTTCTACTTAACCCCAAATTTCGCCAGCTATTTTACCCATTGGAGGTTGGTTTCCAGTTAGCCGGCTGCCCACCAATCAAACGACCAGTCGCAGGGGCCGGTTAATCGATCCCATCCCAGCGATCCGGCTAGACGGCTGTGGGGAGTGTGAACTGTTGAGAAATGCATGTCCAAAGATTCCAATCTCGTGGATTTGGGATGCATAAATGCACTTCGTGTATCGCTCGCCTACGAGAGCAGATAACTACAGAGTTAAATTCATTGTAACTTCTTTCATTTTAGAATCATGCGCAAGATCTCCACAGTTGCATGTAATACTTCAGGCCACGCGTTTAACGTCTGGATTGCCTATTTATGCATTCTGACGTACATTTCTCAAACGTGAACCGTCGAGTGATCGCAAAAATGTGTAACTAGTACGTTCGCCGCAAGTTCAAAACCTCAGCTGTAATTAACGTTGGATTACTGAACACAGTTTGGAGTTAGTACGAGCCTCTATAAAGAAATCGCCTTCTAAAATGAATAAATCTCTGCCATTTGTGCTGTCAGGTAAGACTGATAAATGTCCCAGTGGCTGCTTTACCTTTGGAAATTATCAAAAATACCGGGAAAAGGCTTTGTTCTTGGGATCGTAGGAAAGTTTGAATTAGTTTTAATTGATTGGAAACAAATATTAGGGAGTATGTTTCGCTTCCTAACCACTAGTGGAGCTGATTACGAAACCCAGCATGGATTCTTAGACATCAAGACGTGGTTTCGTGCCGGAATAATACGAACAAAAGACCACTTCTGACTTTTTAAAGCACAGAAGCTAGAGACCAGGCGATTTTACCTGATCTCTTGATAAAAAAGGATTGGCGAATAGTAAAGCGGCTAAACGCAAGCAATCTTGGACTGTTATGCAGCTCCTTGGATCATTGCTGACTGACTGGGGGCTTGCAACGGGTCCGAGACACCGTTCGGGCATTAAGCGTCTGTGAATAGAGTGTAGGTCTACTGTCGAACGCCGGTAAGGGACGCTGTTGACCACTGTAGTGATCGGGGGCGGTGATGAAAGGCCACATATGGTACCACACACATTTCATACTGCAGACCCCCTGCATCCCCAAGAGGCTGCTGACCACTGATTCTGCTGCTGGAAATGAACCTATCGAACAATCATTTTTACGTCGGACTGTAAAAAAACTGTTGCATGCTGTTCCACTCTGTTTGATATCTTATTTTGTCCGTTCCTCTCTTTTTGCAAGTTAAGTTTTCTTACGCTGCACTGATTTCGAAAATTTTTAGCCGCACGGTGGACCTGTATAATTATGACCGAGTTTTACCGACAAAGGTACCGGGGCAATATATGGTAAAGGTATAGCACAAGGCAAAGTGCAAAAGCGCCTTGTTCGATGTTCAGGTGCATGTAATTTATGGTCTAAAAAACAGACAATGCGGTGATAAGTTTTTGCTCGTTCTAGGAAAGATAAAATACCGCAGCTTTTAGTGAGCTCAATACGTTTATAGAGGTTAAGCTTACGTCAAAACAGTTTCTGCATTAATCTTGCAGATGATTGCTGTGTAGCATCTTTCTCATTTCTCCAAAAGCTCCTCTTTACGCTGCACCAGTTCTACAATAGCTGGCCTTGGCGTTGGCCTGCACACGGGCCTAACGTGAGGTGGGCGCCATCTGATCATACTGTTTTTAGGTCAGCGATTTATTCTGCATCGTCACAAACGAAAACAAAGCACTGAAGCGTATGTTTGCCATACATGCGCGCTTTCTTAATTACGACGACAGGCCCGCACAAGCTTCGCGTGTTCTTGTAATTCATGGTTCGCCTAGCATAGTGCGACATATTACTGGCATCATTTGCTTTCTGCGTCCCGTTTATTTTTCCCCGTTTCAGGATTTATCGTTTTCTGACTGTCAAAAAACCCTTACAAACTTCTAAACCTAAATCGGAGCGGAACCCATTGATCCACGAATGTCCACGCGTGATGCGAGCTCTCCCGACCTCACAGAGGGTGTGGTTTGTGCCGAACTTTCCTACACAGGGCAAGTTAGAGCACATGCCTTTTGATGTTATAGTGTAGGATGGACTTTAGGGAACAATGAAGTTCGCTAATCTCTACCTACAAACTTCTGCCATTGACCCGGAATTTCACGATCGGATGGTAGGGTCAGGGCGCACACAACAAACGCTGCCTATCAAGAGACCTGATCCCAGACTTCCATGCAATGAAAAAGGTTGGACAAAAGCTTTTTGAAGAAAAAACTTTCAAATCTTGAAAGGAACAAACATACTTTAAAAAACATGAAGAAGCCACCGGCAGCCGCCTCCAGTCCTCACATGACGCGTCACACAGGCTCCTTGCCTGCGCCGGAACGGGACGACACGGGACGAGGCGAGTCGTAACGGGACGAGCATACAAAGTGGCAGGCAGCCTTTGCTGTCAGGGCAGCATCTACACACCAGTCAACATTGTGGCGTGTTTGCCAAAGCTTCTGACTTGTTGGAAGACCTGGGCCGATGGACGGGGATAGAGGGGGAGGGGGGGGGGGGGGGGGCTGACAGCAAAAAGCTTTCTAAACCTTTGGCACCGTGTACTGAACAGCGGTGAACCAGATTCGATTGTTAGCGTGTTGGCCGCAGCAGCAGCATCCGCATCCACACGCGGCAAGACGGACAACTTCGCTCGCTTTCCACGAGATCTGTGAAATATCGGTTGTGTCTCGTCGTTCAGCATGCGCACACTTCTCACGTTTATTGCACGCCTGTATTTGTGTGTGTGTGTGTGTGTGTGTGTGTGCATGCACGTTCATCGAGCTTGGCCTGTTCTCACCTTGTTTTGACTGCATGACCGGGGAATGTAACATTCACGAACGTTGTCCCTGGGAATGATGTTCCCGAAAGTGCACAGCGCAGCATAACCAGTGAAGAATTATGGCAAGGAAATTTGAAAAATGTGGTACGGAGTACGTAGCCAGCTAACTGTAGTTTTGTTTCTCCATAAATGCTATTTAAGAATATGAGCCTCTAATAAGAGCCATTATCTAGACATGAGAGATGGTGATGATAATTTAGGGTTTTGGGGTGTATCGACTGCTGTAGGTTATGGAACACCCAAAATTTAAAACGTTCTACTGAGGGGTACATATTTTGCACTGGAATCCAAGGAAGAACATTAGCGCTTAAACAGCCAATTGTATGGTGGTCCGGCTGTTTATTTACGCTTCCAATACTATGTTTTATTTTCTGCGTGCGTTCAAGTGCGTTGAATAAGTCGTATTGGATCTGAGGCTCTGATGCGAGTCGCTTATCGAGATTCGGTTGTAAGGGTTCCATGCTCGCTACCAAGGCCTCAAATTTCGGCGGGCACAACCACCTTAAGGCAACCGTTGTGCTACGGCGAACGCAACGTTGGATACCGAGCCTGTCCGTGCATGTAACAAAACATTAACAAGAGCCAGGTTTGCATCTGATATGCTGGATTTCACCAGAAACATGGAGATAGGCCACTGGGGGACGTTTGGCGCAATCTTACTGATTCTAGCTGACCTTTTGATAGCATCACATCCCACTCAAAATTCAATATACCTGACATTTACTTCAGAGTTGTGCAATGCATTGCAGAGCAGAGTGGTTGCAATGGCTTATTGCAGAATCGCTCCACGAGCCTCTTGGTTTGTGACGTCAGAGCATAAATCAAAGTGACGCTGTTTGAACGAGCCATTGATGTGCCAGAGCGACTCGAGCGACTGCCTGCCAAATATGCTGGCCTTTCACTGCGCGTGACGAATCCAGATTGAATTTCGCAGGCGTCATTTTTTTCTGGCTGTTTCAGCACAATCAGTCGCTTGCGCTGCAGAATCTGTCGCTCCGGCAGGTCTACACCTCAGCAAAACTGGTTTTCTCGACGCCACTCCAACGCGGAGCACAAGCCTAGGTGACGTGGCAACGGGCATTTTGGCAGGCAAATATTCATCGCCTGGTGAATAAGTTCCGATCTGTTCACTTCCCGATGAATGCAGATGACAATGCTGGGTCACAAGATGCCTCCCTGCTTTTCTCATGGTTCCTCACTGAAGATGTATGAAGAAATAAGGAATAACATGAGCTCATTAGTCTGTGACGCCGGAGCAAAATCAAAGTGATGTTGCTTTATGATAGTGATTGGAGTCTCAACGATTGTTAGGACCATCCTGAGACAGGGTGGCTTTATTAGGTCCATGAGTGATGCGGCAGTGATGTGGCCAGGAGCTCAGGTCCAGAGCTGAGCACCCTCATCACTACAGCTCCACCAGCCCTACAGTGACGATGTTAAGACGAGACCGTCTAACTTTAGTCGGCACGACAGAGCACCCGCCTAATTCTGGTCGCCGCGATGAAGCAGCCTGGGCAGCTATGGCCACTACCCCGCTGTTTAACTCTGACCATGTTATCATTATAACGGTATATCAAGAGCCAGGGAACAACATGCGTACCCCGCCTAGCAGTTAATTCCTAACAAATTTCAGCAGTGAATCCAGGATGCCATCAATGCATAAGGGGAACACCTGTGGGAGCCTGTTTCGTGGCTCGGCACAAACGCGACGCCACCCAGCACATGGTCAGGACAGCTGACAACTGACCGGTGATGTGCGGCTCGCGTTCGTCCATGCAGCGGCGGGTGCGCTCGGCGCCGGCCGACGCGTCGAGCAGGTGCTGGTGCCAGAGTCCGCGCCGGCTCTCAGGAGGCCGAGTCGGCACCGGGCTGTCCCTGCCGAGCGAAACGGTCAGCCAATCGGCCGCATCAGAACGAACGGTCAGCCAATCGGCCGCATCAGAACGAACGATCAGTGAATCGCGCAGCATCAGAACGAACGATCAGTGAATCGCGCCGCATCAGAACGAACGAACGAACGGTCAGCGAATGGTGCCGGATCAGAACCGTGCCGCACGCATGTACACGCGCCCGCTTGTCAGTACATACATGGCGTGAACATGCACACATCTGTTGTCGCGATGACTGGACGTGGCTCTGCGATGATCATCCGCCTTGAGTCGGACCTATCGCGAACTGGGTAGGGCATCGGTAGAACAGACTGAAACGCAGTGCGCCAAAAACGCAGAGAGTGGCGTTTTGCATCCATGAATGCGACAACAACAGGCAAACTCCGACTCTGGACGGTTCATTGGTTGCGATTTCTGAAATTTCATTTCATTTCGGTTCATGTCTTCTGAAAAATGTGTCCGCTCTAGTGGGCTGGACGTGACAGAATGGAGAACAAGTCACATGCTGTCTCAGGTTGATTTAAGCACATCGTGACGGCGACGTTGCACCAAGGAGAAACAAGACTGTTTGCCAGGGAGACAAGCTTCATCACGAGGAGCTCCAACAATAATTTTGGGTTGGTTAAGGCACTTTTGGTCTGTGCATTGCCATCGGCCTAGTGTTTAAGTCTAACATTACTGAGGCCCGGTTACCCAAGGTGTTCTGGATGCTCTTTGTGCTAATATGCGTCAGCGATTCCGGAAAATTTTGGACGAAGTGCTGAAAAAGAAACGCTAAACTGAAAAGTCGGTAAAACGAGCACCACGCCGAGAGCCCATCATCCTCGTTCTGGTCCCCTCTGTGGCAGCCTGCAGATAAAACCATTGACAGGGTTAAGGCCAAAAAAAGGCAAAAAGCAAAGGACATTCATGCGGGCACACCCTTCCCCTGAAAAACGCCAGGCTGTTTTCCCTATTCTACTTTTTGTGTCATTGGATTGCCTTCTCACTATTCTGTTGATTGACCCCTTCAAGCGCACATGTTTAAATGCCTCTGCCATCCTGTCACCCTATCGGTTTTAACATCTGGACACACGTGGAAATCCCTTTGGACAATGCTTGAAATGGAAGTTGCCTGTGCATGTATGTACATTGCACGCACTAACAAATATGTACAGTGCACGCGCAGGCAGTCCCAGAGACACGCATATGTACACCACAAACACCACGGGAGCACATTATTCCGACGACTGAAAGCTTGTCTTACCAGCACATTGTGATTTCGACTGGGGCGTATCTTACCACCATCCCACCACGCCCACCACCACCCGTCTAACCACCTCTGCTTCGACTGTAGTGCATCCTTCCACCCCCCCCCCCCCCCCACCACCTCACCACCTGCCTGACCACCTCTGCTTCGACTGTAGTGTATCCCCCCCCCCCCCATCCCACCGTACCACCTGCCTGACCACCTCTGCTTCGACTGTAGTGTATCTCCCCCCACCCCCTACCTCACCACCTGCCTGCACCACCTCTGCTTCGACTGTAGCGTATCCCACCCCCACCCCCCACCCCCACCTCACCACCTGCCTGACCGCCTCTGCAAGGTTGCCAGCAAGTGCGTGGGTGGTGGTGCACAGACCACCAAGTTAATTGCAAAGGCATGGAAACATCACGTCGAGGCTTTCACAGACGTGGAAACACGCTGCGAAAGTTAATTGAACGCAAATATTTTTGTGTACATGCGGAACGGTCCAGTCGTGCAAAAGTAGCTGTCTGTCCCTCATTGGAAGCTTTCTATGTACCTGAAGAGCGTGGCGCACAGACCGAGCATGTTCCGCCGGGCTCGCGCAGTCTCTGCCAGGTACATCGTGCCACGTCCGGGAGTCGGTCGGTGGGGGAGGGGGAGGGGCTGGCCGCGTGAGGGCGCAATCAGTCCGGCCGCACGGCAGCGGCTTCCCGACCGGCCGGTCGTCGCGCCGGCCGGCCGCCGAGCCAGCCGCTGACAGGTCGACGGCCGGCGTCTGGCGGCCGCTCCACTAATTGCCCCCCGCCAGAGGCCTGTCACCGGCAACGCGGTCGAGACGCCGGCTCCCGACGGACGCGAGCGTCCCCCACCCCCCACCCCCACCCCACCCCCACCCATAGGTCTTGGCTAGGGCCGGCACCGCGGGCACTGGTGCTGGCGACGCTCTCGCCAGGGGGGCGTGTGACGACGTTGCCCATGTGGCAATGCGGCGTTTCAGTCAGTTATACTTTGGCGAGGCGGCCCACGTCATCCAGCTGGCGTTCCCTTAAATGTGCCCACCTCCGCCGTCGAGTTGGCCTGCCCCGAACGTATAGGCCACTCATGCGGACCTGACGCCACCGCGCTCGCCGTCGCCAGCTCCGCACCACTCCGACCACAGCTGGCGCGCAGCTGACGCCCGTGGATTCCAGAAGTCAACCAGGCAAGAGTTCCAGTCCACTGCCGATCAGGACGCCCCACCACTTCCACGCATCGCGTATCCGCTTTTACACGCTGTGTTGTGCGTGGCTGTCCCAGGTGGCCGCGTCTGCTCCGGCCTCTGCCTGCCAGGCGACGCCCATGCCTCTAGTGTTAGGGCCTCACTGTCTCTCCAGTCACAGGAACGCCATTGTCAGCTTCTGATGTCTTGGATGTCTCAGAGTTACAGCAGGCGGAGTGGGTTAGCCTAAACATAGTAAGTTGACCTAAACATAGCAGCTTAGTTGGATGACGTCATATTGACAGGCGTTTGGAACGTAATCAGTCAGACAATGTCATCCGTGCACATAAGAGGCTTACCAACCATGCATTCACATCGAAAAAGTTTTTCACTAGTTACGACACAGTACATTCTGCATCACTCTCACCAGGGCCGTCATGAGTTTTGAACCAGAGGGCCTGGTTGAATACCGCTGCCTTCAACCTGGCTTTTATCATCGTTGACCTTTGCACGTGTCTGCGGCTGTCTCATGCATCTGTTGCGTGTTTTGAATAAATCCGGATGGCGTCCAGCGCCATGGGACGAAGTCGTCCTCCAGCTGGCGTTTGCGAGGGCGTTGATTCATGAAATGGAATCGATGATTTATGTAAACTCGAAGGGTAAACAGAGAGGTAGGAAAACTAAATCTTGCAGAGATAAACGTTCCTTTAATAACGCTGAAACAGAAACTATTCGAAGCGGGTACACCGCTCGCACTCCAGGGCCGGAGCCTTAAGGCCTCCACTGACAGACTAACAGTTGGGGGATAGCGGACGAAAGGCTGGCGGGCCGCGAGTGACGGACGAAAGGCTGGCGGGCCGCGAGTGACGTGGCGCAGCAGGCCGGCAGTAGTCGGCTCACGCCTCGCTTCTGCCCAGCCCCGCCCGCCCGCCGACCGGATGCTAGGCACAGCAGGCCGGCAGCAGTCAGCTCACGCCTCGCTTCTGTCCAGCCCTGTCCGCCCGGCCGACCGGATGCTAGGCACATCAGGCCGACAGTAGTCGGCTCACGCCTCGCTTCTGTCCAGCCCCGCCCGCCCGGCCGACCGGATGCTAGGCACAGCAGGCCGGCAGTAGTCGGCTCACGCCTCGCTTCTGTCCAGCCCTGCCCGCCCGGCCGACCGGATGCTAGGCACAGCAGGCCGGCAGTAGTCGGCTCACGCCTCGCTTCTGTCCAGCCCTGCCCGCCCGGCCGACCGGATGCCAGGCACAGCAGCCAGACTGCCAAGCTGTGCCCACGACACCACACGTCTCGAGCGCCAGCTTCCCGCCGATGCCATCGCTCCCCAGGGCGAGCGCTGCCGTCGCCGGCGACTCACCTGCGACTCTCAGCCTCGGCCACGACGGCGGCCGCGGCGCGCGCGACCGTCTCGTCCACCACGCGGTTCATCAGTGTCAGCGCCGTGAACTGCAGGTCCTGCGAGCCCTGCACCATCTCGGCTGTCATGCTGATCAGCTGACTGAGCGTGCGCGCTAGCTCGCGCCGGTGCATCGGCAGCGAGAAGTGCCAGATGGCCGTCTGTGAAACGGCACGGAGTCGGTGTACGGGTCGGAGGTGCAGGTCGCCGGACACAGCCGCCTATCTGTACACAGGCCGCCGGACAGCTCGCGCGGGACAGGGGATTCGATACATGTTAGTACTTAAGCAGAGTGCTTTTATGACTATGCCTTGCAACGTGCAGCGTAATCTGTTGGATGATTGGTGAAATCTAAGATATTTACATGGGTCGAAACTGTAACTCAGTGAAGTTAGGTAATTTCCCGCGTGAACGTGAAACGTCAAAACGCACATAAGTCATACCCTACTATGCTCAACATCATCTGTCATAAGTCCGAGTCAACAATGCAAAAAAATGAGATGGTTCAACGGGACGAGCACTTCGGCGCGCGCATGCACGCATAAACACATAGAAAACAGCGTACATGGTACGGATACAGAAATCACAAGCGGGTGGATGGTTACATCTTAATGCTATGTGCAACACACCTGTTTACATCAGATCAGTCTCTGGTTACTTGGTGTTAAAAGGTCGTTAAACCACGCTTTCCACGGTGCAGAACAGGGGATTCCCGAGTTCCCCGTTATGTCTGTCCATGATATTGCACTCAAAAGCTTATACTCCTTCAGATGGTGAGCGTGCGAGTTACTTCATTCTGCTGCCAATGCGTCTCAACCATGACCTTATCACAAGATGTGCATGTGGCAAGATCTTGAGCTGAAAACCATTTTCAGTGGGCACAGATCATAAAAAATAACAAGCTCCTCACAGGAATATTCTGCATTTGCCCCACGCAGAGGAATCCATTCTATCATATCTTTTTCTTCCCGTCGATCGAGCGCTCCGTCGCCACAACAGACTGCCTCGCACGTAAAGCACCGCCTGAACTGGTAGGCTGTCCCGGCTTACTCTCATGAACTGTCGCACGGCCTGCAGGGGTAGGCTGCACCGTTCGAAAATGGAGAGTGACCAGCATCGGCTGGCGCCAGAGACCAGCCAGTGTCGGGGGGGGGGGGGGGGGGGGGGGCCAACCGGTGTCGGCCCCCGACACCCCCATCGGAGGAGGGGGGAGAGGAAAACGCTGGTGACCAGCCGGTGTCGGGGGCGCCGAACACCAGCCAGCATCGGCAAGCGCCGGCGGCCGCCAGTGCCGGCCATCCGTATTCGGGCCGCGTGCGGTCGCGTCGCCGGACGCCGGCGGAGTATTGGGCGCGGTCGTGACGGCCGTATACGGCGCCGCCTCGTGACCGCGACCCATTTCGGGCTCCAACAGGCAGGGTGGGGAGCGCCGCCACTGATTGGACCGTTACTGCACACGCCAGCCCGTGCGCACCACCCGCCGCCCGTCGAGCGTCCAGGGCGCTCGACGTCCTGGCGCGGATCGACGGCAGCTGAGTCCCCTAGGACCTGTTGCGTGACGCACGTTCGACAGAGATAGCAGTCATGCGTGGCGGAGATCCGGAAACGGGGCACCAGAGACATTGATAATGATGCCATGCTGCTTGTGCTTTCGAAAAGATGAGGAAATTAGGTCACGGACCTGACTATGATGGCCGGAAGGAAATGGCATCATATCAATCAATTTTTTAGTCTTCACCTGCTCACCAGGAAGTGAATTCGTAATGATGTGTTAATGGCAACACCACTCTGCGTCACCTGAGCCGGGTAATTTATTCTCACCCCCCCCCCCCCCTCCCCTCCATCTGCGACGTGGCCTAGGCCAGGCCGCACGAGGGCCGCGGGTGAGAGTCACTGTTCGGCGCGATGAAGGTGGCGCGGCTATCATCAGCTCGCTGGCCGAGGTCGCAGTTATCATCGGCTCGCTGGCCGAGGTCGCGGCTACCATCGGCTTGCTGGCCGAGGTCGCGTCTACCATCGGCTCGCTGGCCGAGGTCACGGCTACCATCGGCCCGCTGGCCGAGGTTGCGGCTACCATCGGCTCGCTGGCCGAGGTTGCGGCTACCATCGGCTCGCTGGCCGAGGTCGCGGATACCATCGGCTCGCTGGCCGAGGTCGCGGCTACCATCGGCTCGCTGGCCGAGGTCGCGGATACCATCGGCTCGCTGGCCGAGGTCGCACAGTCGCCACGGCCGGCCACGCGGGGCCATCGCCGCACGGAATACCCGGTGAGTGGGCGGAGGTAATAGCCGACGGACAGGCAGGCGGGGGTCTCCGCGCGCCTCCCCCGACCCGGTCAGCCGACTGCGCTGCGGCCGACCGGGTGCTCGGGCCGCTGCCGTTGGCCAGCCCGTCGCCTGTTTACGGCGCAGCACTGACCTTCATCACCGTGTGCAGAAACTTGGAGAACTTGCGGTGCGTCTTCTTGTCTGTCACGTGCTCCAGCCAGTCGAGGATCGGCGTCAGCTCCGAGCGCAGGTGACCAAGCACGTGGTACAGCACCTCTGGATTGCGTGAGATCACGGCCAAGCTATCCAGGCAGCGGACGGGGTCCTCCTCGGGCGCCGCACCGTCTGAGAGCACAGGGCGTGCCTCAGTAACCGGATCTCCATGGTTCCCTGGCACTGAAATTACTAACGTAGCCATGGGTACTTAGGTGTTCAATAAAATAAAGCCACGTTTCATTAAGTGTTTCACGACGAAGTGTGCCATGTTCCTTTTCCCAAGCGTGTGCGCATAATAATTTTCAGATAACATTGATTATTAGTTTAGATACATTTGCGTTTAGCGACGAGCGTCTCATTCAGCTGCGGTCTAGGAACGGCGATGTGTCACCTTATTCACCGTTTGGACGTCTGATAATCGGGTCATAGGTCAGTACCTTGACGTGGTAGGGAACCTGGAATTTCCAAGTTAAGTGTAGAAATACCCAGAATCAGCCTCGCCAAACATGAACAACAATGCGCCGGGCGTGCTAAAGACAGATAACTGCAAAATTCCAGAGTAAGGAATTTGCCCCAATCCCTCTGTCCTGATGAGGGTAATAGGGGAAAGTGAGCGAAAAGTGGGCTTCTTGGGAGAAATCTGGCTCTTGCTCACATACCTAGATTATGCGTGACAACTAAGGATTGCAAAACCACTGTTGTTGAATACGCGTGCACGAGCCCACTTTTTCGTCTTAAAATACCGATTTTGTGTAACATTTTTTCATATCGCATCTTATTAATTACGATTCAAATAGCACTTTGTATTAAATAACGTGTAATCTGAACCACCTCCCTCATGCCAACATTTAGTAAAAAAAAAACATAGAGCGAATCAAACTTCAAATTTCAGGTGCTCGGTGAACTTAACTCCAAAACAGAGAAGGATGGGAATGATCTCAATAGCCACACAACTAAACGGATGTCGGAAGAGGGGACTTATCAAGGAAAGGAGCATTGGAAGTGTCAAATAGCTTCCCTGACTGTCCAATGGTTGGAGCGCTGGTCGCACGGCAGGATCGTCTCCGGTCAGGTAGCTGCATGTCGGCCGGACCCAGGGCCCGCTACTCACCGACAGAGGAGAACTGCCGGAGGTGCTGCAGCAGCTGGTGTGACCTGTGGCCGGCCGTCTCGCCCTCCGTCTGTAAACGGGAGCACGACAGGGCGTGACTGCCGGGGCTACTGTGACCCGACTGCTATGACGTCACGGCTGTGGCGTAACGGCTGTGACGTGACTGTCATGACTTGACTGCCGTGACGTAAGTGTCGTAACGTGACTGCCGTGACGTGACGGCTGTGACTGCCGTGTGTGACTGCCGTGCGTGACTGCCAAGACGTGACTGCCGTGACATGGCTGCCGTGACATGACTGCCGTGACGTGACTGCCGTGACGTGACTGCCGTGACATGACTGCCGTGACGTGACTGCCGTGACGTGACGGCTGTGACTGCCGTGTGTGACTGCCGTGACGTGACTGCCGTGACGTGACTGCCAAGACGTGACTGCCGTGACGTGACTGCCGTGACGTGACTGCCGTGACGTGACTGCCGTGGCGTGACGGCAGGGTCAGCGGCGGACTAAAGAGGCGACACAGGGTGCTGCGGCAGCAGAGCGGCAGTGGGGTCTGCAGCGATTGTTGGGCAGGTGAGTGGCTGAAGAGATGTCGGGGTAGGCCGTGTCCTGGGCGCCATGCCTGGTGTGGCCCCGCACACGGACGGGAATGCCCGGCGGTAGCTGTACTTGTACACCTCTCCGAATTACCGTCCGCAAGACCGACCCAAAACACAGGGAAGAAGGGGGGGGGGGAAGAAGGGGACGTTCACTTGGGATCTTACGTTGGTTACGTTGGTTACGTTGCAGTTGGTTAGAGCGGAGGCGAAATGAGAAATGAAAAAACGAGTAAGAAAAGCGATAGCCAAGGCGATGCAGTGAGAGGTAGTAAAAGGAAAATGGGCTAGAGATGGAAAAAAGAGAAATGGGTAAAGATTACGTGGGTCGTGGGAGGCGGCACTGTTGCTTGTCCGTGAAAGGAGCATTCTAATGAAAAATTACCATGATTTGATAATATCCCGAGCCCTCATCCGGTGCGGCTGAGGTCACGATGGTTATATGCACAGACGCAATATGCGATAGGTTGTCCAGGATTTTTGGTCTCGGTATCGAAATCTCCAACAGTTGGTGGAAGACATCAAAATTATTGCGCTGTCTCAGGAGTCTGCAGCGCGCGTCCAACAAAACATTTTCTTGGGGCTGTAATTCTCACAGGGCGGATAAACCAACAGGATTTGCTTCTATGGCACCACTGGCTCACACATGACGTCCAAAGGCATCGTAACATAGCACATGTAATGACAGAACCGCTATATATGTACTATCATAACGTACACCAGGTAGCACCCCAAGATATGTTAGAAAGATAAAACGTCTGTTAACCGCTTCGGGATGCACACCGCCCAGTAGAGGAGAAACAGGCCTGGAAACACCCTTCGGGAGTGTAAACGGCTGGCACGATGGATAAACACAGCGCGTCTCACGACCGGCGGGTGATGTTGAAACAGGCGAGGTTTATTGGGTTTCCCTATTTCCGGTCCCGCGGGCCCAGCATGCTCAAAGCCGCTAATTTCGCCGAAGCGGGTTGTGACGGAATGGTGTGGTCAACGCCAAATAACTCACCTCTCTTCAAGTAGATTGCGGTAAGCGATTCAACGCATGTGCGCTGTGTATCTAAGGCAGAAATTCTCCATTGCATTCAAGTGAGATATCTTCTGTGCTTACTACATTCTCGTCCAAAACGCAAACCTCCAAAACCTCCAAAGCCAAAAACGTCCAAAACGTCCGACATGGCAACTTAAGACACTGCCTTTTAATGCAGACTCGCGTGTACATCCGTGCAACGTCAGACTCCGTCTTTTAATGCAGACTCACGTGTACATCCGTGCAACGTCAGGCCCCGTCTTTTAATGTAGACTCGCGTGTACATCCGCACAACCTCGGACCCTGTCTATTAATGCAGACTCGCGTGTGCATCCACACAACCTCGGACCCTGTCTTTTAATGCAGACTCACGTGTACATCTGCGCAACCTCAGACCCCGTCTTTTAATGCAGACTCGCGTGTACATCCGCGCAACCTCAGATCCCCGTTTTTTAATGCAGACTCGCGTGTGCATCTGCGCAACCTCGGACCCCGTCTTTTAATGTAGACTCGCGTGAACATCCGCGCAACCTCGGACTCTGTATTTTAATGTAGACTCGCGTGTACATCCGCGCAACCTCGGACCGTCTTTTAATGCAGACTCGCGTGTACATCTGCGCAACCTCAGACCCCGTCTGTTAATGTAGACTCGCGTGTGCATCCGCGCAACCTCGGACCCTGTCTTTTAATGTAGACTCGCGTGTACATCTGCGCAACCTCAGACCCCGTCTGTTAATGTAGACTCGCGTGTGCATCCGCGCAACCTCGGACCCTGTCTTTTAATGTAGACTCGCGTGTACATCCGCGCAACCTCGGACCCTGTCTTTTCATGTAGACTCGCGTGTACATCCGCGCAACCTCGGACCCTGTCTTTTAATGCAGACTCGCGTGTACATCCGCGCAACCTCGGACCCTGTCTTTTAATGCAGACTCGCGTGTGCATCCGCGCAACGTCAGACCCTGTCTTTTAATGCAGACTCGCGTGTACATCCGCGCTATTGAACCCCGCATGGCTGGGCTAGCTTTCCAACAAGGCGGCCCAGATCGGGCCTGGCGAAGTCAGCTGACTTGCCCGGAGGCAGCAGTCAACTGGCGCCGATACGCCCACGGTCAGCTCGATTCCAGACAGATTTCGTTAGCTGCCGGGCAATGACCTCGGGCCTATCTCATTACGCCCCCTCCGCACAAGTAATGCGGCGCTCGGCTGACGCAGAACTCTTGGTGCACGGCCGGTAATTTCGACGAGCGTGATTGCATTGACCCTATTGGATCACATCAGTAGATATCGCAGGAGCCAGGTGGCGACACAGGAAGCCTGGGGTCCTGAATGCAGCCATGGAAAACTGAATTGTCTAGCTTCCACCGGGCGGGAAATATTTTCACTCACGCCGTTAGCGAGGGATCTGTCTGCCGTTTGGCTCCAGACTAAATCGGAGCCATGAAAACACACGGTGAATATCTTGCCATTTGACAAATCTATTAAGGCCCGATTCAGCCCTTCCGGGTCCACCAGCGACCTTTCCGGTCATACCAACCTTCAGCAGGGGTGATAAAAGGAAGAACAATATCTGTTCCTTCTGACAAAAAATCAACACTTTTTCTACGCCATTAGCACTAAGTCGCTCTCTGAATCAGGTTCGTAGCAAATGGGAGCCAGCTAGCCGTCCGAATTCAAACTAGGTCATCATATGTTCTTGATCTTGTTGGCCTCAACACTGCCATTGGTCTAACCGAATGATGCGGGTAACAGGTAACTATTATTATGTACGGAGCTCTCATACAAAGTTCCCGCCTATTGCTATTGAACACCAAGTAAAAGTCGTATTTGGAGCAAGCGTGTCCTTGTAAGCCTCGATGAAAGCAAGAAAGATATAAAGCTGCTGATTGTCTGGGATTATTTGCTATTGTGATAAAGATGACAAACCCTCAAGATACTAGGAGATATTGCCTAAACGAGAGTATTTAGCAATCGTTTGAATATGTTATTGTAGCGCTCGACATTTCGAACCACTGTTTGCCGTTATACCCCGGCTTCTAACCAGAAGACGAGAATCCCAAACACTGCTAAGAATCATTGGCTACTATGATAGTAGTTCCCAATGACTGGTATCTTTCGTTTATCCGTTCGTCCTAACGTATCGAAACCCTGCTATCTTCAGCATAAAAACTCAGCATAACCGCAAACCCTCAGAGATCACTTCAAAGCTTGATATTTGGAAATGAGCAGAGGCAATCTTGTATTGCAAACTTGCGCAATGCACGCATCATCCCAAAAGCCAACTTACATAGTGTTGTCTTTGTCACTGAATGTTGTTTCAGGCATATCGCTTGAGGTTGGCACCCACGCGACACGATTAATGCTGTTAAAGACAAATTGCTTGATGTTAGTACCCAGGCGAGCATTCAGCGACATGATTACATACGGCGGAGGTTTATACATACAAACGGCAACACACGACGCGCGTTTACCCAGGAGAGGTGAAGCTAATGCACCCCTCAGCATGCTCTCGGTCCTCCTTCCAGCAAGGGATGCATGCTAGATGAAGGTTTGTTGCATAATCCTTCGGCTTTACCTACACCTTACGGATCCAGGGCGCAATAGGCGTACTTAACTTAAACGTACAACGCCACCCGCGAGGCGGTCTGTGAATGCGATCCATTCTGGATCAAACTGAGTACACGTGAGGCGGGGGGGGGGGGGGGGGGGGGGGTAGGAGCTACATTGCAGATTCCAGCGAATCATCGACAAGCCTTCCCGGCACTGTAATACACTTGCCTTCGCGGGCTCAGTAACGAAATATGTACTGCCAAGATGTCCTCAGAATTAGCCTCTCCCCGCACTCCCGTTCGTGGCTTGGTCCAACTACCGCTCTCCGTGAAAGCAGTCCTGCTCGGAGCTTCGGTTCCAAGAAATTCATTTTACAACTTTCCAAGCTATCTGTGTGCGTGTAACTACCGTAAGAGTGCTGATGGTATACGTTTATAAACAAATAAGCACGATATGATAGATTCGTACTGAAAGAGAAACTCTTAAATAATAACCGAACAAAAAAGAAACACCAGCAGCCTTAAAATGAACCAAAAAAGCAACTCAAGGCATACTTCGAAACAACAGACCCCTAGTAGCATGTGACCGTCGACGGTGCACCTATTGACAAGACCGGCGTTTGAGCCTGGGTTTCGCCGCCGGTTCCACCGCTGTTTACATCTGCTGTTTCCCGTCTGTTGACAAGACCGGCGTTTGAGCCTGGGTTTCGTCGCCGGTCCCACCGCTGTTTACATCTGCTGCTTCCCCGTCTGCTGAAAAGACCAGCGTTTGACTCTGGGTTTCGCCGCCGTTCCCACCGCTGTTTACATCTGCTGTTTCCCCGTCTGTTGCCAAGACCGGCGTTTGACCCTGGGTTTCGCCGCCGGTCCCACCGCTGTTTACATCTGCTGTTTTCCCCGC